TTTATTAATCTATTTAAAGAATCATTTTTTGTTTATTCTTATCTTTAGCATTAATTTCTGCTCTTGTATTTAATATTTTCTCCAACTTATGTATAAGACATTTCTTTCTGCTTTTAATATTAAGACTATTTGTATGTGACAAACCCAACTCAAATGAGTATAAAAAGGAAAAAAAGAGGAATTCATAGGATCATGTAACAAGAGAAATCCAGAGTACAGCTGACTTTAGGTATGTGTGTTCCAAAAACCTCCCAGCTCCATCTGTCTCAAGGGGAAGATGCTGCTGGCTCAGTGTAGAGACCACCAAGGTACCAAGCCCAGCAGAAAGGCAGGCAGGAGAGTCTGAGAAGCTTCTGATTGGTCCAGCCCAGGATAAGGACCCATTCCTAAACCAATCACTGTAGGCAGGAAATCAAATAAAATTGACCAATAAGGGTCCAAGGGGCATCCTTGTAGATAAGTCATGACTTCAGATTCTAACTCTGCAATGAGAAAACTGGAAATAAAATGCTGGTATCCAAGTTGATTGATTTGTTAGTGGCCAGGTAGGGATTTTGAGTCTTCTTCCCACACTTAAGGAAAATTATGATAGTGTTCAATGTGAAAAGGAACGCATTGCATGTTAGCCTTTCAAACCTACACAGCAATCTCTTTGAAGTGTGTAATTAAACAAATAATCACAAGATGTCTAAAGAGTCACCCATATTTCCCTGTTACACTCCTTACCTTTGATGGAATGTGTGATTTAAAAAATGTTTTTCTTTCTCAAGGACACTAGTCAAAAGTAATATGTTTCTATAACAAAAATTCACATAGAGAAACTCCAACACTTTATTTCTAGTAACATTCCATCAAAATTGTTAATATTGAACCAGCAGTACAAAACAATTTTATAAAAATTTTGGCCATATTTTCCCTATAGCCAATTATACTCAGTTCTGAGGAAATTATCATGATTATATAAGAATAAAGAGCATTTATTAATAAATAGCATCAACAAGTATTCAGAATGTGAAATTTGCACTAAGCTCTGTAAAGTACTTTCCCTGCTCTAAAGGGTTTAACAATCTTTTTGCTAACATTTGGTCAACAATTAGAAAGCATTAAAAAATAACTTCAAATAAAAACCTTAGTTTCAGTGTTTCTAAGATTTCAAAAAATTAGTTCTCATAAATTGTAGCCAGCTAAGTGCTAATATGCCTGGGCATAACTGCTTTCTCTATAACACTAATAAATATTTACTAATATAGCAAGTATTATTGAAACAGTCTCTGTAACCTACTATCTCCAATAGATTCCAGTGAGGAAAATTCAGAAGTACTATGCTCAGTGGTTCAGTAGACATAAAGTTCTGTTAATAGTTGGGCTTTGGCGAGTTTGCTATTGCAACACTAAAAAAGATAATAATCCCTCAGATACATCAACATGATTTTTGACTGAATTATGTGTAATGTTTAGATTTCCTCCTTTTAAAGCTTATATTTTCTGAAGTTTCTAATATGAACATGTATCCATTTTTTACTAAGAAAAAAATTTTAATGATAAAGGAATTCTTTCCTGTGATTATTACCAAAGCAGCCACTGTGTCACAAGTACTTAGATAAAAGCAGTGTTTTTACCCCTCCAAAAAAAAGCTTTAACAAAGCTCTGATATCCAGAAAACTTGAAGCAAGTCCANAAGATCCCCTGGAGAAGGAAACGGCAACCTCCAGTATCCTTGCCTGAGAAATCCCATGGACAGAGGAGCCTGGCAGGCTGCAGTCCATGGGGTCACAAAAGTCAGACACAACTTAGCGACTAAACAACAACAATCTATATTTTACAAGGAAAAAAAAATTTTAAAGATTAGGAGGTCAGCCACCTGAAAGGAGATTAAGGGAGTGCAAGCCCTGCACACACCAGAGACTTGTCACAGACCCTGCCTTTGAACACTGTTATAAAATCCCTCATCAAATCCTCCTGGGTGGGGGACACCCAGGCAGGAGCCCATCTGTTTCCTCTTATGCCTAGCAAAGTAACAAAACTATCCTTTTTAACTTCATCCCCTCCCAGGGGAAAAAGAAAAAAATGAGACCGACTTCAAAATCATGGTCCCTAACTGGCTTCTCAGAACTCTTTCTGGAAACCGGTGAGGCAGGCAGATCTCTGTCCTAGTAATGGATAGAGTTGTGTGTTTACTCACATCAGTTGCACACTATTAAACTGAAAGGGTAATTTAGACAAACATAATACACACTGGCCCCTCTTCGACCTTCAACAGTTATTAAAGCCTGGCTTTGACATCTGCAGACTTCTTTCAGTAGGTGCAGAAATAATGATATGATTGCTAGCTTGCAATATCTCAGCTATTGCCCAATACATTTGCTGGGTGGTGTTTCTGAAGTAAAGCTGAAGGTCTCCAATTTGATTTCATGTGGGTTAGTACTGCCAGGGAATTCCTTAACTTTTGCTGGAAGTGACAAGAACTGAAAAGAGAAATTCCGTATCTGTCAACGGCTCTCTGAGATTATACTGATTCTGTTCAATCAGTTAAAACCTTGAGATTACAGCCAGTCTCACTCCTTAAATAAGCTCTGGGGACGAGAGGAGCTGACAAAATTTTAGATGAAATGATACTTTCTAGGCAAAGGCTTTCAACTTTTCAGACACAGCCCTGCCTTGCTATTAGAGGATCACTCTCCTTTTACCCAACAGAGGGACATAGGCTACATGAAATGGCTTTATGATGTTCACAATGTTGACATTGTGAAACAATTCAGAATTGGGTCACCAAATTAGCTTTATAATGATGAGATGCTTGTAATGTTAGACGCTCTGACCATCTATTGTATTTGCCAAAAGAGCACATATTATTTGACTATGACCATCCAACAACACTCTTTGATTACTTCAATGTGGAAAAAAAGTTTTTTTTCCTTTAAAAGCCATTCTTGACTCAAGGCCAAGTATGGAATAAAACATCTGTTAAGAATGATGTGTGAAGAAAAAAATAGAAAAAACAAAAAGAATGATGTGCTGGAATTCCCTGGCAGTCCGGTGGTTAGGACTCCATGCTTTCACTGCCAAGGGCCCAGGTTTGATCCCCAGTCAGAGAACTAAGATACCACAAACCATTCTGCATGGCGAAAAAATTAAAAAATAAATGATGTGGGTGTTTTGATTGCTCAAGGCTGTTAGCTATGCTAAGACTCTTACTTCAAAGTTTGAATGGAAAAAGCAGTGAGGTCACAGGTTGGTCACACAGTCCTATCCTGTGGGTCCCCCAGGAGATGATACAGAGCACCTCTGACCAAGAGTCTGGAGTCTGGATTGGGGAATTCCTAGATTGGCAACTGGCACCCCCTGTCAATAAATGCCAACGTTCGCTCCCTAATGGGGATCAGTTCAGTTCAGTCACTCAATTGTGTCCGACTCTTTGCGACCTTGTGGACTGCAGCACGCCAGGCTTCCAGGTCTATCACCAACTTCCAGAATGTGCTCAAACCCATGTCCATCTAGTTGGTGGTGCCATCCAACCATCTCATCCTGTCTTCCTCTTCTCCTGCCTTCAGACCAGCATCAGGGTCTTTTGCAGTAAGTCAGTTCTTCACATCAGGTGGCCAAAGTATTGTAGCTTCAGCATCAGTCCTTCCAATGAATATTCAGGGTTGATTTCTTTAGGATTGACTGGTTTGATCTCCTTGCAGTCCAAATGCGGATACCAGCTGACAAATCATTTGTTCACCATTTCCTTCCCAGTTACATATGGAAAAGTCTGCAATCATCTAAACAGAACACACACTCGGCTACAAAGTGGCTATACATCATCCTGGAATTAGAAAATTCAGTCCTGGGGACTTCCTGGCAGCCCAGTGGTTAAGCCTCACCTTTCAAGGCAGGGGGTGTGGGTTCAATCCCTGGTCGGGGAAGTAAGACCCTACATGCCTTTCAGCCAAAACACCAAAACGTAAAACAGAAGCAATGTTGTAACACATTCAATAAAAACTTAAAAAACAAAAATAGCAAGAAAATCCAGCCCTGATGGTAGTTTTTCTTTTTTTTTTTCTGATGGTAGTTTTTCTATTAATTCATTTTAAATAGCTCAAGTCTTAATCCAGCTTCTGCATTTTGAATCTGGAAGCAAACTTAATAAACTCTCAAAGTCTGGGGACTAAGAATCAGAGTGTACTTTGCTATGATATATTAGTTTTAGGCAAAAGAAAGAAAACTTTAGCATAGGAAAGGATGGTTTTGTGGTTTTATATGCACTTTTTCATAATATAAGGGCTAAATAAATTGTCATTTGCATTTTAAAATGTAGATGTGTACACACACACTTCTGTTTTAGCATATCCATATAGCCTGGCATATACATTACCTTCTTATGGAAGAATCAGAAGCAAGAAACTTTATTATCTTTTCATAGAAGGAACTAAAGGACATGGGGGGAACAACTTTTCATACCTTTTTGTATTATCTGAATTTTACTACAGGCAATTATTACTTTAATTTTGTTTAAAAAAATTAATTAGCAGATTATTTAGATGGAATATTTTAATTTTGGAATATTCAAATATTATGGAACATTTCAATTTTCTTTCTCAGTTTTTAATTTAAATGTATTAATATTATCTAAAAGAATAAGAACAATTTCTAAAAATGTCTTAGTAACCACATTAAAGGCATTAAAGGCATTATTACTAAGCTTGACCAGCTTTGGAATGAAAACATTAGAATAACACAAATCCATATTTTAAATATTTTTTTTAATGAAGTAAGTATAAATGGGAACCCTTGGTGCTTGTTATTCACTTATTGATTTGACAAATACTTACCAAGCACCTATCATTTTCATGAAAGCACCCATCTTTTCCATTAAAAGAGTAAAACGCATGAATTCAAAGACACATAAAATAGTCCTTCTTCTCAATAAAATCACAATCCAGCTTCTTTATTTTGCAGACAGGATGAGGTCATCTACTCAAGTAACTCCTCTCGTTACCTACCTCAATGCAACTCTTTAAAGTCAGGAACATAAAAACATTAAAATCAGAGTAAAGATAATTCTTCCCTCTATTCTACGTTCTTAAAATTAATTACATCATCTTCATAGTTTAATACAGAAGCTAAAGTAAAAGAGTCTAGTTAATTCATCTGAGAAGTTATCCTTAAACTATATATTTACAAATAAGATAAAGATACCAAATGTGTCCAGAATATAATTCTATCCTGATATAAGCACAAGGCACTCACTGGTGAAAAAGATTGCTATCATTATTCTTATTCACATATAATCACAGATAGTAATTTACCAAAATCCCTTGGCAACTTTGGAGGAATTCTTGAAAGGTGACTTTCTATGATATATCATTTTAACATTAATGAAATATTATAAATGGTTTTAAAATCTTGATTTTTTAGCTCTTTCCCACCTCTAAAGCCTAATATTAAATCAAAGTAATCTTAAAAAAAAAAATAGAGCCCAAGGAATAGACTCCAAATAGGCAACAAATCTAGTTTTTAATTCTTGCTGTTTGTTGCCTCTGAACTACATTTAAAAGTCAATTTAAAATACCTTTAATGTCAGTTAAAGGAATAACAGCAATTGAAACACCTCACATACATATAAAATCACTAGATGATTCAAAATGGCACATTAAAAATGTGTAGCCTTTCATTGTGAAAAATGCCTAATTTTATAACAGCACCAGAGTCTGTATTCCTTTTACAAGAATTCTATTACCTTTTTTCATACACCATGATCATTAAGGATCCGTGGTAGTAGATAGACTTAAGGTAAGGAGATAATTAAATGACACACTTTCCCAGGTTCCGACTAGCTTTCAATTCTGTGATAGGAAAGAAATACTAGATGAAATTTGCCCCATTGTTATTGATCATTCTTCTTCCATACTAATTCTGTGTGATTTCATTATCATGAGCTGCCTAAAATTCACTTAACTCCTTTCTCCAGCCACCTGTACTTAAAGGTGTATGTTTTCTTTTAGGGTCTCACTTTTCTACACTGAATGGACCCATTGCCACAATGAAGAAAATGCCCTCACACTCTTAAATGAATATATACTCTAGTCAATACTGGCTCTGGCTACTGTAGTTCTGAATTCTAAGTAGCTAAGAAAACCATTTACAGCTTAGCAGTTCTATGGAACAATGTAATCAAGAACATGATAACCACATTTTCCTTGTATAAAGCATGTCGATGTTGAAAGATACCATCTGTAACCACAACTTCACTGCAGTTTTCGGTCTTCTCTGTTATAACATGCTGTGTCCCTTCACCCTTCCATCCATACCTATCTGTGTGGCTGCTGAAAGATCCATGGCTTCTCCTGTTTCTTCTTCTTTTGTTTCAGCCCCTTCACTGACTTTCTCACTCTCCATCTCTGTTTCAACCATTTCTCCTGTCTCACCTGGAAAATTAACCAAAGGGGATATTAAGAGATACTTACTTAGCATTAACAACCAAGTGCCCCACACCTGGTTTCCAACAAGGGCAGCCCTTGCTCTTTAAGTCTAAACAGTAGGTTTCTCTGGGGATGTCAAGAAAGGCAATCGCCCTGGGTCTCTCAGATCCTCAGAGAGCTGATGTCACTTAAGGTTTCTGAGTCTTGGCACTCTCTTATATAAAATCAGGATGCAGAATTACCCAGTTAAGTGATAGCAGAACATATTACAAATAGAAAATTCAAAATATGGTCTAGGAGTTCCCAGCAACCTGTCTTGTTTGGTCATTCTGGTGTTTAAAGAAAACAGTCATCAAACTTTCAAAGAGCTGAAACATTAAAAGTCCGGGTATTGCACATACAAATGTTTCCCTAAGAAGTAAGTTCGGCAACACTGGCCCCTGTGCTTTGAATGGAGCCAAGAAGCAGCTGCCTCTTTTGATAGGATTGTGCTCCTGTTCACCAAGGTCCCTGGGGCTCCCTACAACATTACATGTGCCCTCCAGTTCACCCACTGTCATCATCCTAGGCCCCAAAGACTTGAGTGTGCCAAGCCTGTATAACAAATATGTACTCTTACTTGCTTCTGCCTTCTGATTCCCAGAGCACTTTTATACACCTTCATTAAAGCACTTAACTCAATAGATTGTGGTATTTTGTTTAAATTCTGCCTTCTCCCCACTAGACTATGAGCCCCTTGACAACAGGGACTATCCCTTACTTCTGCACTGGCACCAAGCAAATGATTAGACTCTCAAAAACTGCTGCATTAACAAGGGAAAGAATTAAGAAACAGATGAATGTTTCAGTTAATTCTACTGTAAGGTGAAGTTAAAATTTACCAAAATGTAAATCCTGCCCCAGAAGAATTTTTAAATTGTAACTCCAATAAAGAACAGTATAGATTCCATTTTCTTTATACAGGTAAGGTACATGTTTTAAAAATACCATTTGCTAAGACATAGTACATTTCTCTAGTCTCATAAAGATAAAAAGAGAAGGAGGACAGGGGGAGATTGACAGTAATTTCTAAGGATAAGATTGCAACGATGAAAATGACACTCTAAGAGGCATTATTTGTGTGTTCTTTCATTAAAAAGTCAGTTCCTGGGCTTCCCTGGTGGTCCCATGGTTAGGACCCTTGCAATACAGGGGACACCAGTTAGATCCCTGATGTGGGAAGATACCACATGCCATGGAGCAACTAAGCCCACGAGCCATAACCGCTGAAGCCAGCTCACCTAGAGTCTGTGCCCCACAACAAGGGAAGCCACTACAGTGAGAGAAGCCTGTGCACTGCAAGTATAGAGAGTAGCCTCCACCTGGCTGCAACTAGAGAAAGCCCGCACACAACAAAGACCCAGTGCAACCAAAAATAAATAAATAAATAAATAAATTTATATGTCTTAAAAAGTCAGTTCCTCCACTGACCATCTTTACTTTGGATCCTCATACCATACATGGGGCCTGATGAAGAGTGAACTTGGAAAAATTCAGAAATTTTAACATCCCTTCAATATCCCATTTCATTTAACAATGAAACTAGGTTAAAAATCTAGATACTTTTCTAAAGACTATCCTTTAGAAAACTTTTGCTGGAAAGCCAAGTGCCTGTTGTTCAAGTCTGGAAGCCTTTTTAGTTTGGGTAACGGGAACTTCAACCACTGAGAGACTCCGGGGTGGGGGAGCTGTGTGTCAGGCTCCCCCACCCCCCGGAGATGATCTCATATGGAGCACGTCTAAACAACCTGATCTGACAGCATGACTTTTACCTTCAATGTGTTGGTCCTCTTCGTCAGTATGAATTTTCCTGGCCATTTCCACCTTCGCCCCTGTCTCTAGAATTCCTGCCAGATGTTCCATGCTTCCAACTGTTCTTTCAGGTTGGATCTTCTGCATGTTCCCAGGACCTTCGGCAGTTTTATAGAGTGAATCAGCCTTTACAGTTGTCGCCACAAACTGACTTGCATCCGAAACTTCCGGTCCGCCATGCTCTCTGGGAATCGTCTCTCGAAGCCGGGATTGCTCATCTTTCCCCAGCGTTTCCTGAAGTTGCTTCTCTTCCTCGGCTCCCGCAGACTGGCTTCCATCCGACACTTCCGGTCCGCCATGCTCTCTGGGCATCGTTTCTCGAAGCTGAGAGTGCTCATCTTTCCCCAGCGTCTCCTGAAGTTGGTTTTTTTCCTCAGCTCCCACAGACTGACTTCCGTCCGATACTTGCAGAGATGCATTCTCCTTGGGAACTGTTTCTACAAGTTGGGACTGCTCATCTTCTCCCACTGTTTCTTGAAGTTGCTGCATCTGAGCTGTTTCCACAGGCTGACTGCCTTCCAATATCTCCGGAGATTCTGTCTCCTTGGTAACTGTCTCTGGGAGTTGGGACTGTTCACCCTTTCCCCCAGCTTCTCGAGATCCTGGCTCTCTGGCTGCTTCCTGAGGAACTCTCTCAGCTGTTCCTAGAGGCGTCATCTCTCCAGCAGCTTGTGGATCCTCAGTATTCCATCCGACACTTCCGGTCCGCCATGCTCTCTGGGCATCGTTTCTCGAAGCTGAGAGTGCTCATCTTTCCCCAGCGTCTCCTGAAGTTGGTTTCTTTCCTCAGCTCCCACAGACTGACTTCCGTCCGATACTTGCAGAGATGCATTCTCCTTGGGAACTGTTTCTACAAGTTGGGGCTGCTCATCTTCTCCCACTGTTTCTTGAAGTTGCTGCGTCTGAGCTGTTTCCACAAGCTGACTGCCTTCCAATATCTCCGGAGATTCTGTCTTCTTGATAACTGTCTCTGGGAGTTGGGACTGCTCACCCTTTCCCCCAGCTTCTCGAGATCCTGGCTCTCTGGCTGCTTCCAGAGGAACTCTCTCAGCTGTTCCTAGAGGCGTCATCTCTCCAGCAGCTTGTGGATCCTCAGTACCTTGCACAGAGTCCCTTTCTCCCGCTGTTATCAAAGGCTGACCCTTGGCTTCCGCTCCTAAAGGTTCAGTCTCAGCACTTCCTTTCAAAGGCGGAGCCTCTGTCACTGCTTCCACATCCTCCTCCTTTCCTCCTGCTCCTGGAGCACCATCTTTGCCACCTGGCTGAGGTGGCTCAGACCCCTTCAGTCCCTCCAGAGGCTGAGTTTCCTCTGTGGCTCCTGGTGGGTCTGCAGCCTCCTTTGCCAGAGGCTGTTCAGGGAGGAACTGAACGCCATTAGCTGTGGACACGGCTGAGATCTTGAGCTTCTCTAATGGAGGAAGGCTTTCCTTTTGTACTTTGCCACACAAAGTAGATTCTCTTCCCAGTGCGCGTGGTTTTGGCTGGACAAAGCAGGACTCACTTTCTTCTGTGGCTGAAAAATAGATATTTGAAGTTACTTTTTATTATTCATTTGAAACGAAAAATACAAATTATTATTCAGTTTCTATCCTGAGACAGCGTATTGCTATCAAGAAGCAGGTTTAACTGTTCAAGAAAGTCCTGGGTAGACTCGAATACAGAGAGGCCATATCATGCCCCTAACATACCACAAGTCAAGTCTCTCTAGTGTTTTCAGCTCAAATACCTCGTCTTAAACATGAAGTCCTTCAAAATCACATTCTTTTTCCCTGTTCGTTCCTTGTGCACCTGCTCATGGCTCCTGCCCCATATTCTAGTTTAGTACATTTTGTTTCCTCATGCTCTTTCCTCTGTCCTGCCCTTTCTCCTTCTTAGGCTGAGTAGATTTCACAGCCTAAGTAGTGGCCCTTGGGCTGCTAGAGAGGTCTTATCTTCCCTTAAAGCAGAAGAACCAACCAAGACAGAATATTAAAAAGCACAGACATTATTTTGCCAACAAAGGTCTTGTCTAGTCAAAGCTATGGTTTTTCCAGTAGTCATGTATGGATGTGAGAGTTGGACTCTAAAGAAAGCTGAGCGCTGAAGAATTAATGCTTTTGAGCTGTGGTGTTGGAAAAGACTCTTGAGAGTCCCTTGGACTGCAAGGAGATCCAACCAGTCAATCCTAAAGGAAATCAGTCCTGAATACTCATTGGAAGGACTGATGCTGAAGCTGAAACTCCAATACTTTGGCCACCTGATGCGAAGAACCAACTCATTGGAAAAGACCCTGATGCTGGGAAAGATTGAAGGTGGGAGGAGAAGGGGATGACAGAGGATGAGATAGTTGGATGGCATCACCGACGCAATGGACATGAGTTTGAGTAATCTCCAGGAGTTGGTGATGGACAGGGAAGCCTGGTGTGCTGCACTCCATGGGGTTGCAAAGAGTCAGATACGAATGGGTGACTGAACTGAACTGAACTGAAAGCAGAATGGCCCTCAGTGAATGGAAAAGGCCCCATGCCAGAGAAGCCTTACTATGTAAAGACTGAGATGTCTGGGACAGAAAGTAGCAGGCACGGATCAGTCTTGAGTTTCATTCATTTGGGGGGGCCCAATTTGGGAGAAAGCTCAAGAGAGAGCTGTGTAGAATGCATTTCTGGCTCTTCCTCCAATTGTGTAACCTTGGGAACTTGGTTCCCAGTAATAATGTCTGTAAAATGGCAGTGCATCTGTTTCTCCCACCTGTGTCATAGTTGCATGAGGCATCATATGACATAAAAGAATGAAGGCAGAAATGTTCTCTGAACAGTTTAAAAAAGCAGCATGGCAACATGCTTACACCCTGTGACCCAGTGATCCTGCTTCTGGAAATTCATCCTAAAAACAAAAGTATCAGGAATATGCTTTGGGGGAAATGTATCAGCCCAGTATTATTTCGAATAGCAAAATTGGGGAAACAATTTAAAAGTCTAATAATTTAGGAGAAAGATCAATAATCCATTGGGTGGAATATTATTGTGTAATGAAAAGGGTGGTTATGCTGATTATATGCTAAAATAAGATAATGATTATATAATAAGCTTAAAAATCAGCACTTCCAGTTGGTTTATCAGATAAAATAATGCATAGAAAATGTGTACTACCACAAGGTCTGTTTTGCAATTAAATGTTCAATAAGTTAGCTATCAACTTTATATATAGTACTATTATAACAGTGTTGATCATTGGAAGGCAGAAACAGAAGGAAAACAGAAAGGGAGATATTTGAAGAAAATAAACCAGCATGTTAAGATGGGCCTCTAGATGATATATTTTCTCTTCTATCCTTTTTTCTCCTCAAAATATTTTTTCTTCTTTTCTTTCCTAGGCTACCCCTGACCTAAGTTATACAGGTACATAGTTTAAAGAGTTATCTGCTTATCTAATGTAAGTTAAGATATACAACTAAGACTCAAGTCTCCTCTCCCATTTCCCCTTCTCTAGGGTTAAATATTTTCATTCTTTTAGCTGTTTTTAGAGAGACTCCCCCCCCCCATATTTCTAAGAGAATTGCTACTTCTTTGTTTTTTAGTTAGGCTATTTCAATTAATTCCCACTATGAAAAACACATTTTTTTCCCCGCCTCCATCACCCTTCACCCTCTCTCATTACATTTCAATTCAGAAATTTCACATTACTATTGATTTAAAATAGTAATCATGTTGTAATTTAGATTACATCAATATTCAGTTATCTGTACATATAATAAGTATGTCTGCAATGAAGAACTGAGCCAGGTAGTCAGCTATTCAATTTTTTGTTTTTCCCTGAGTTAGTAACTGTCATGGTTCTTTACTTCCTTAGTTTATGTATTCTCATGAGTTCAACTCACTGCCAGTTGTTTCTTTTTTTTAATACATCTACTCACATCAAACAGTCTCCCAGCCTACCTCTGATAATGTGTGTGGATTCCCCCATTGAGAGGGATTAGACATGAAGCTGGAGAAGCACAGTATAGGAAGGAATTTGTGAGACCAGGGCACAGGCTGTGGGCCTGGGGTCCATGGGACAAAGCTGGGAGGAGGGCTATCCTTCACTCCCCCTGTTCTGGCCTCATCATGCATGGAGCCTTCAAATTAACAGCACAGAAGGCAACTTAACGAAAGTGATTTCTCAGGTCTATAAAGAAATTCGTTGTGACAAGACAATTCATTTAGATGCCACACAAAGGATGTTTAGGTGATGGTTGCCTTAGGGAACTGACAAGGAAATGTATTATTATACTAATCACAAATGTCTTCCAAATTATATTTTCTGGGAAAACAGTTATTACAGTGATCAGCACTGTCAGTTAAATGAGACAAATGACTTTCAACCAGCAGTGCCAGCTGTGGGTGCACTCTAATGTCATCATTTTTCTAGAGCAGAAAGCTGTGGGGAAAAAATGTGTGGACACACCCAAATTATAGCCACTCAACTTCATGTTTTGAAACATATACTGTGCTATCAGGTTTGTTGTTGTTCAGTCGCTAAGTCATGTGATTCTTTGTGACCCCATAGACTGCAGCACACCAGGCTTCCCTGTCCCTCACCATCTCCCAGAGTTTACCCAAATTCATGTCCATTGAACAGCACCGAACAGCCGACCCACTGGAAAAGACCCTGATGCGGGGCAAGACTGAAGGCAAAAGGAGAAGAGGGAGGCAGAGGATGGGATGTTGGAGGGCATCACCGATTTAATGGACATGAACTTGGGCTATCAGGATAAGTCAAGGTTTTTTTTCTAAAAAAAAAAATGCTTTTGTGAAATTTTATTTATTCACGAATGGTGTCTTAAATGTCCAAAGGATCTATCAATTTCTTCCATAATTAGAACATTTATGCCCATGGTCACAGTATGAATTTTCATTCTTATGTACTTTTCCTAATCTTACTGCCAGACTTGAAGTAGGAAAATGTCCTTGACATATAATATTCTTAGATTGCAATCTGAAAATAGTCAACCAAGCTGAGAAATATTACAGAAGAAGCCACTGTCTCTAATACTTTGGGGGGTAGCCCCCCAAAGCTAAAACATTTTCAAAATGATCACCGAAAACTAGAGAAAATGCTGAAAGTGTAGTGACACTTCATTTGGTGATTCCTGTTGATTAACTGCACCCTGAATTTTGAAATAAATGTATTTTGGAGGTAATGACCTCTCACTAATCACTCAATAGTTCTTTTTCCTACGTGATAGACGAGCATAAGCTGCTCTAAAGGGAGGACAGATATCTTATAACCCTGAAAATGACACCTCTTAATGTACCGGGTCTGAATCCTGGTTCTTCCACTTACTAGCTTTGCTCAGCCTCTTCGTGCCTCAGTGTCATCACCTGTAGAGTGGGAACGGGTGGCTGAACTGTCATGAGGATTACACGAGTTAACACCTGGAAAGCCACCAGCACAGTGACTACCCCCTGAGCATCAGTCAAGTTACCCTTCGTGAGCATTACACTTCACTCGGCAGCCCCAGCAAGGAAGAGGTCCCGGCGGACACAAAGAAAAGGAAGGTCATTACATGCATCCTAATCCTACTACCTTTCTCTGAGCCCATTCAGAAGGATGGAAAATCAGAGTAAATAAGTGAAAAGGGCCGGAAAACAAATGCTTGTTTCAAACCATCTCTCAGAGAACACCACGAAAAAGACAATGGTGACCACCGCACTTCCTTTCTTATCCTTGGGAAGGTTTTTATCCCCAGCTGCTGACAAAGGACACATTTTGGATCTGTTCGTCCTCCTTCCTTTTCAGCTAGAGCCGGGCGTTCCAGACTGTTCTGCTGTTGAGTGTGATCCTCACCCATCATTTACTTAACCATGCAATTCAAACTCTCCGGGTCTCAGTTTCCTTACATGATCTTTGCCTTTCAGGATTGTCAGGGTAATTGATAATTCTGAGGGGTTATATGTGTCATTACCCAACGTGTAATGTTGGGTATAATGTCATATAACGTCTTATGAGACATAAGAAGGTACTCAGTAAACAGGGGATAAAGCCAATGGCTCTGCAGGTTTCTCACTGCATGGGGGTGTCCTGCTGAAGGGGCAAGGGAGGCCTGAACCCCAGCTGTGTGCACTGGCAAGGGTGCAGACCTCAGGGGTGGGAAGGGCAGCTTTTTCTAATTTCATAAAGGTCATCTGTGAGCTACTGATGGCCCTGTCAATAAATTAAAAATAATTCTGCAACAGAAAGAATGAACTGCAACATTAAAGAGCTCGGATAAATAGTCCCCTAAACAATATAAAGCTGTCACTGTTGACCTATAAAATTCTGTTGCTGCCATGGTAAGTTTTAAATCAGATTGTTGACAGATAATGGAGTAGTATTCGAGTCAGCCATGATTTGACTGGACTTGACTGGTATCAATAAAGGCCAATGTTAGCTTTTATATAAATGTGTGTGTGCTTAGTCGCTCAGTCATGTCCGACTCTTTGAGACCCTATGGACTATACACTCCATGGAATTCTCCAGGCCAGAATACTGGAGTGGGTAGCCTTTCCCTTCTCCAGGGGATCTTCCCTACCCAGGGATCGAACCCAGGTCTCCCACATTGCAGGTGGATTCTTTACCAGCTAAGCCACAAGGGAAGCCCAAGAATAGTGGAGTGGGTAGCCTATCCCTTCTCCAGCGGATCTTTCCGACCCAGGAATCGAACCAGAGTCTCCTGCATTGTAGGTGGATTCTTTACCAACTGAGCTATATAAATAAATATGCTTCATTCTGTTTGCTGGCTTTGATTTCATTTATTGAAGTGCCTACTATATGCCAGCCCTGGGCTAAGCACAAGGGTTACAGCAGTTAACAAGGAAGACCTGGTCCTTGTCATCCTAGACTTCCCTGTCTGCAGGGAAATTCAAATAATATCCATTCCCTTATTAAGCACAACTTGGTACCTGGGCACAATCTCTTATGTAAGGATCTCCATGTTCCGTCCACATGGTTTTGTGAATCCCTGATATACCTCCTGGAGGTAGAAGGTTCTATATCTTTTGTTCACAGGCAGGAGACATTCTATGCCTAATCTGTATTATTATGTAATAAATATTGTGGACAGATGCATTGTTTCCACATCCAAAGTTGTTTAAGGATATGTCTGTTTTCTGAACCCTACATTTTATCAAATCATACACTGCTCTGGGCGTAATTCTTTGGTGCTCATTATCTCTCTTGATTCTGTTGTAAGTTGATCCATGCACAAATTTGTTCTGACAGCTGAACTAACAGAACCCTTGTTGCAAGCTCCGTTGTGTTAGGCACACAAAGAAATTAAATACTAGGCAACATTACAGAAGGGATTAGAACCAGAGCTAACATACCTGAAATTCACATTATGGTGGAAGCTTTTCTACTCCGTTCATTACTCTAATCAAAAATGAAGTTTCTACCCAGCAAGGAGAAAAACTTGAGGTCAGTATTTCCTATTCCATGGCTAGAACGTATCAACCATCCCAAAGATCTCACTGGATGGTCTGCTGAGTTTTCTAGAGAATCAGTGAACAGGGGGATCCTTGTATTTTCCCTTGCTGCCACCATTTCTAGGTTCTGGTAGCTTCTGAGTTTTGGGAACCAGGGATGCAGCATGAATCCACTCTAAAGGAAGAGTCCAACTCGACTTCTCATGTTTTTTCTTTGCTTTCTCCTTGATTCCACTCCATCATTTATCCATCCATCCAACAAATTCTTGTGGAGCTAACAGTGGGGCTATACTATATGTTTCTGCTCTTTTCCCTCATCAAAGTATGTAAAGATACTGACCCTGTGTGCCATGGCACAAATAATAATCCCCAAGGGTGTGTTCTATCAGTCAATAGACATTTTAAAAGGCATTCATTTTGGGACTTCCCTCGTGGTCCAGTGGCTAAGACTCAGTGCTCCCACTGCAGGGGGCTGAGGTTCCATCCCTGGTCAGGGAACTAGATCCCACATGCCACAACTAAGAGTTTACATGCAGAAACTAAAGATACCACATGCCGTAACTAAAGATCCTGCATGCGGCAATGAAGATTGAAGGTCCTGTGTGCCACAACTAAGATCGAGCACAGACAATAAATAAATAAAAAATTTTTTAAATGCACTCATTTTGAAGAGAGGTTAACTAACGCAATATCCCATATAACTGGAGTATGAAACCATTAGCCAAAAAACCCCACAGAGGGCAAATAAAAGTCAGACAAACCACTCTTCATTTTTTAGTAGTACTACCTAAATTGACATATGAAAAATTAATTTTGACATCACAAGGTAAATGCATTAAAGTCTGAAGGTAAATCTCATTTTGAAATTTAAGTACAGAGAGACAAGAACATGCAGTTGGAAAGATACTACTGGAATATTTGATAAGTACACACGGAGATGGGGTTTCCGCCTAGGGGACAGGCTGACATTTAAGAGCTGCAGAGCCAGTCCTCAAGCCGTGACGAACAGTCACCTCCTTCAGGTACGACTTTCCAGTTTCATTGTCTTTGATTTCCTCTAGACTCCTGTAAGACAAACTCTGATTTCAAATAAGGTATTGCATTAAACATCACATTAAAGAATTTCAACAGTAGTTGTATTCAAAAAGGAAGTTTCATTGGTTGACGGTCATTACCGGCACATGGGGATCCAATGTTTGGGCAGAAATGCAGTCTACAAAATCAAAGACGTCTCAATGAACAAGGAAGAAGACAGACAAAGTGAAGATTATCTCTCTGATATTCACACAACATGACCCTTGACAACCGAAACGGGTCACACCCATGATGCTTCGCTAGGAACCACAGTGGCTAACATTTACTGAGGCACTGTGCCTAGAGTTTTATAAGGATCATCTCATTCAACCTTCTCAACAACTCCACGAGTAAGTCATTATTACCTCCATTATACAGCAGAGGAAATACGACACCTAAAGACAGAACCTTTATCTAGGAAGGGCACCCAGTTAGAGGCAGCAGAGTCTCAGATGTAAGCCCAAGGAAGTGGGATTCTACCTTGAAGATTTACGTGCTTTCAGGCAAACCATGGCCCCAGAACCTGTACCATCAGTATTTCCTGGGAGGTTCTGGGGTTTTGTTTTAGTGCTGACCCAGAGACCCTACCCCAGATCCACTGGCACTGCTGCCCGTCTTCAGACATCGGGCCTGGTCTCTGTCCTCACGCTAGCATGTCATGGGCAGCACAAGAGATGAGATGAGTATATTAATTCAGCAGTGAAGCAAGGGCCAGAGCTGGTCTAAGTGAGCTCCACACCAGGGAGCAAGACTTTTCTCAAGCTTCCTCACACCACAGAACTGGGTGGGTTTGCTCAGCCTCCATCTCGGCTAGGTCAGGACAAAAAGGTCTTCTAATTTCTCATCTGAAATGAAGGTTTACACTTGCTATGCCCTGCCCTCTAAGGGCGGTGACCAAGGGGCTCCACTGACGCTCACAGTGGCGGCCATTCTCCCAGCTGGGCCACTGAGTCCATGTCTGACTCCATCAGGGTGTCTACCTGTGGTGTACAAAGGCATCAGTGGCCAAGAGCAGGGGTCTGCGCTCAGGAAGGATTCAGTTAGTGAGTCCTGGCTGGGATGGAATGCTTAAATCTTGCAACAGAGCAGTCAGTTACCTCAGACATCTGGACCTCAAGTCTGGGTGGTTAGCACACCCTGAGAGTGTCCAGTTCTAGAAAGAGCAGGGGCAGACCAAGCAGGACTGTGAGCCCAGGCCTTCAGCTGACTGCTGCTCTTGGTTAGGGATCTCGGGTTAGGGATCCACGTGCTATTCAGATGACTTTGCTGCCATGGTCAGTAATGACCATATTAAGGGAACTGAGGGGCTTTGTTTCCCAGAATGAAGAGTCACTTGTAATAGAGCAGAAGTCTTCCTCTCCCCGGCCTAGGCACTTTGAGGCTTCTGGCCCAGACACTTGAAACCTGAATTGAATGAGCTTCTCTTTTTAAGCAGAGCATTAAAGAGGCTTGGACCTAGGAAGAAGCAGGTTGAAACAAGAATCATAGAAACAATTAAACTGGAAGATTTCAATAAGATTTGAGTATAAAACAAACATCTACTCTCCACCTCTTCAAGGCTCAGAGTCCCCAAAAAGAGCATCAGAGAAATTTAGGAGGCAGTGGTTAGTCATGTTGAGAACACATATCCTTGATAAGATGTGATGAGAAGGGTCCTGTCCCTCTGCTCTTTTCCTCCCCCAAACCCATGATCCCAGTTTATGATAAGAAAAACATCAGACAAGTATCAACTGAGGGACAATCTAAAAGAAGCTGACCAAACCTCCTCAAAATTGTCAAGGTCATCAAAACGCCTGAGAAAATGTCACAGTCAAGAGGAGTGTAAGGATACAATACTGTAAAGTAATTAGCCTCCAACTAATAAAAATAAATGGAAAAAATAAAAAAAGAGTAGTGTAAGGAGACATGACCATGACAACCAAATGCAATGCAGGGGATGGAACCTAGAACAGAAAGAGGACATGAGAGAAAGACTAAGGAAATCTAAAAGTATGTATGTGTGCTTATTCACTCAGTCATGTACGACTCTTTGTGACCTCACTGACTGTAGCCCACCAAGCTCCTCTGTCCATGGGATTTTCCAGGCAAGAATACTGGAGTGGGTAGCCATTCCCTTCTCCAGGGGATCTTCTCAACCCAAGGATTGAACTCGGGTCTCCTGCATTGCAGGCAGATTCTTTAACGTCAGAACCAGGAAAGCCCAAATAAAGTATAGACTTTGGTTGATAATAATGTATCAAGCTTGGTTCATTGTTTGTGACAAAGCCACCCTACTACTGTAAGATGATAATAATAGGGTGAAGTAGATGTGGAACTTTCTATACTATCTTTGTAATTTTCCTGTAAATCTAAAACTATTCTAAAATTGTCTATTTTTTTAAAATTGTAGTAGCAAAATACAAAAGCAAGTAAAATAAGCTCTAGAAGCCTTAGAAAAACTGTTTCATAAAACTTTGGCCATTTGCATAACCATTTTTATGATTTTTGAATATTTTGGTACCATTAATGCTATTATTAACAATATTTTTGACACATTCCTTTAAGAAATTTATCAGAAAGGAAAAAAAGGTCAGGAACTCAAAAAATTTAGAGATCTAGAACTTGATCTTGAGGGGGAAAAAAATCAAATTGTCATCTAGGAAAAGCAATAAAGGAAAATTGAGATTTACTAAAATTGATATAATGAGAGATCATCTTTACTAAGGACTTATTAGATGATATTCCAAGCCAGGGGTCAGAACTTTTTTTCTATAAAGAAACAAAGAGCAAATATTTTCAACTTTGCCAGGCATGGTGTCATTATTTGCATGTGTGTGTGCTAAGTCACTTCAGTTGTGTTTAACTCTTGAGACCCTATGGACTGTAGCCCACCAGGCTCCTCTGTCCCTGGGATTCTCCAGGCAAGAATACTGGAGTGGGTTGCTATGCCCTCCTCCAGGGGATCTTCCCCTAGCAGGGATCAAACCCAAGGCTCCGGCGCTCCTGCACTGCAGGCAGATTGTTTACCACTGAGCCACAAGGATCATTATTGCAACTACCCAACTCTGTCATCTGTCATCACAGAGAGAAGGCAGTCTTAGACGATGTGTAAATGAATGGACATGTCTGTGTTCCAAAAAAACTTTATTTACAAAAAAAGGTGGTGGGGGAACTTCCCTCTTGGTCCAGTGGCTAAGACTGTGCACTCCCAATGCAGGGGGGCTAGTCTCGATCCCTGGTCCGGGGACTAGATCCCACATGCTGCAACCAAGACCTGGTGCAGCTAAATAAATTTTTAAACATAGGTATTAAAATAAGAACAGGTGGTGGGCTGGTTTGGCCAACAGGCCACTTTGCCAACCCCTGTTATAGGCAATACTTAGACTACATTCCAGGTATATTATACATATTAACTCATTTATTCCCCAGAACAAATGAGGAAGTAGGAACTAACTGTTAATCCCATTTTACAGATGACATCACTGAGGCATAAAGAGGTTGAGTGGTCCAGTGTCATACAACAAATAAATGACCCCCTGATACCCTGAACCAGATTTGAACCCAGTCTCACTTCACACCCACATTTTAAATTGGAACTCTATACTCTTAGCAAGCTGAAATTTTCTCTCTCACGTGTGCCCTCCACTCTAAACCTCTTCCTCACACACAAACACACACACACACACACACTAAGTCACTCAGTCATATCCTACTCTTTGTGACCCCATGGGTATAGTCCATGGAATTCTCCAGGCCAGAATACTGGAGTGGGTAGCCTTTCCCATCTTCAGGGGATCTTCCTAACCCAGGGATCGAACCCAGGTCTCCCGCAATGCAGGCAGATTCTTTACCAGCTGAGCCACAAGGGAAGCCCAAGAATACTGGAGTGGGTAGATGAAATTGACAGAGCAGTTGGAACGCCTAGCCCAGGGCTTCCCATCTCTTTGACGTCACGGCACACATGGAATATGGTGTTTGTGCCGCACTCAGAGCGTGGAGGAGGCTACGCTGGGAGGTTCGGGCCATCTGGACCCCCCCTGCGGCCCGAGAGCCCGGGAGAGAGGCTGGCACCCTGGATCCCAGGCTCACAGGCTGGGAAGCGCTCTCACACACAACACAGGAGCAAGTATATATTTCAATCACCAAAGACAGACCAGAGCAGCCCTAGCCAGGCGAGGCTGAGAAGGTAGACAAAGCAAGGTGGTCTGCAACGAACGGAACTCTCTCATCCTGCAGGGCCCTCCAGGACTATGTTTGAAAGAAAAGCTGCAGAAAGGGCTTTTTCATTGAGTGTGAAGACAAATACATTACAGGCTTGTAAAAGCATGTCCTTGAAATGAGTGTCCTGGTGAAGGGAGCAGAAAATTAACTGATAGACAAAAAATAAATAAATACTTGATTTCATGGTACATCCTTATGCCTGTAAGGGAAGGAAGCAGATAGCCTTTCCTTCAGTGGATGGGAGGCAGGTCTATCACTGGCCTCCCAGGCGCCGGGCATGGGGGGACCTGGAGCAGCCACAGAGGAGCTGACCGAGGCAGACAGCTCTGGGCACAGAAGAGGCTTGTTGAGCAGCTTCTTGACAGGGAGTCATTTCAATCCTTAGCCTACGACGTCAAGTTCATTTTGTACTTATCTGTCTTAGATGATGATAACTAGTGCTATTCTGATGTCCACTCTGAATTATACTGGCATGGCCACAGAGTAAATACTATGTAAATGAAATTTGACTTCTGGTGACCCGGAAAGTAGATAGATAGGGCAGACGTGTCATGATGCCTCTTACATCATTTTATATCTTGACTTTCCTACTTAATGTTCATTTGGACATGTCTTTCATCCAAATAGTCATGTATGGATGTGTCAGTTGGACTATAAAGAAAGCTGAGTGCTGAAGAATGGATGCTTTTGAACTGTGGTATTGGAGAAGACTCTTGAGAGTCCCTTAGACTGCAAGGAGATCCAACCAGTCCATTCTAAAGGAAATCAGCCCTGAATATTCATTGGAAGGACTGATGCTGAAGCTGAAACTCCAATACTTTGGCCGCCTGATGCGAAGAACTGACTCATTTGAAAAGACCCTGATGCTGGGAAAGAGTGAAGGCCGAAGGAGAAGGGGTCGACAGTGGATGAGATAGTTGGATGACATCACCAACTCAATGGACATGAGTTTGAGTAAGCTCCGGGAGTTGGTGATGGACAGGGAGGCCTGGCATGCTGCAGTTCATGGGGTAGCAAAGTGTCGGACACGACTGGGCGACTGAACTGAACTTATCTAAACAGACCTAATACAATCTGATGGTCTCAAAGCAAGTAAAATCATACAGATTTGGAATTCAAGAAGTATTTGGTATGAATAAAGAGCATGTTATCAGGCCTCAGGCAGGGTTTTTTGTCTTATTTGAAAAACCAAGCTGTAGGAGAGGCTGCAAGAACGGTTGAGTGTGACATCTAAGAAAAGAGGGTCATCCCTCCCGGGTTGTCAGCACACAGTCAGCACCTCATCAGAGTCCGGCCTGGCTACCCTGAGGACCCCAGAGCCCCATGGGGCTCCAGGAGGACCCCTTCCATGGGGAAGAAAATGGTGTCAGCTGAACCTGACCCCATGGCACTGACTGCCCTTTTCTCCATCTCCCATGTCCACCC